AGAAAAAATACTTCTTGGATGTGGAAGGTGACTCCATGGATGTTATGCCTCTGTTATCCTTTGGCTGCATCACTAAGGCCTGCAGCCATTTATTCTCATTGTTCTCATGTGCTGTCTGCTTGGATTGGTTATGGTCAGAGGATGCAGAATTTTAAGGGTACAGAAGTTGCATATTGTAGGGAACAACTGTTTGTGTTGGAAAGGTTTGGATTCCAAGAGGTTAAATGTCTTTTCTGAAGATACTGTAGTCTTGGCTTCACTGTTCTACCTTTGTCATGTTGGAGAGTGTTCTATTCCTTCAGTTTTAAAAGTCACCACCAGGAGGACCAGAGGAAGCAGGCCAATGACTCTGTCCTTACAGCACGTTATTTCTCCTTCACTTACCGCCTCAGGCCTCTTCATGTGACTGCTAGCTGTGGTGGTGCACACACTAAGTTAAATATTTACTCTTTGAACACCTTTTCTAAGGCAGATAGTAAATCCAGAGGCAAAATCTATGTTGACTTCATGTTGAGTGTTTTAGTTGGCTCAGTAGGCAGGTAAGACTTGCTGTGTGTGTAGATCAAGTAGCAGTAAAACTTTTGAGCTTTTGTGCTCATATGTGAAAGAGAAAAGAAACAGAGACCTGTTTGAAGTGTAAGCTGCTGAGGAGTTATCTGTGGTTTGAGGTTTGTTTTTGTTTTGAGGTTTGTTGGGGTTTTTTTGGTTTATGAAGAAAACCTGTGACTGGAGCTGGTGCATAAACTGAACCATGCTTCTTGATTCAGACTTAAAGATACCACAGTTCATTCATGCTTTCATGTGTCATACCTGTAAAGTGCTCTGCTGAAAGCTTTTTGGGCATGTGACATTGTCTCAAACTCCTTTAGCATTATATAAATCTCATGTCCTAAACATCTACCAGCAGATTGAGAGCTATTAACTTTATTTATCATTAAACATAGGTGGTGCTCCAGACTGATCCTCCACTTACAAGGAGGGCATTTTTCTTGTTTGTACAGGCAGCTTTTTTTGCATCTGTATCATTCCATGGGTTTAAGGATTGATATCCTGCTGTGTGCAAAACAGGCTAAACTCAGGGGTTTTGTTTTTCTTAATTTAACTTATTGCCTGTTAATACAAACTTCTGATGATTGATTGTGGGGGAAATTAATCACTTAGAGAAGTGATGCATTTCCTTCCCGTTTTCCAAACTCATCTTCTGTCATACACCATTCTTTTCCCATTCCTAGTTTAATTTATCCTTGTTTTCCCAGTGCACATCTCATGGTCAATTCCAATTCCTTTAGGCAACAGGTGGTGTGAGACATCAGGGCATGTGCAGGACTTTATTCTGCTGCTCATGCTGTTTGTTTTCCTGCTATGATGAATCGCCATAGGTCTCAGCCCCATGGAAGTAGGAGGACAGAGAGAGGAGATTCTGTGCCCTGATGTGGGGTTCTCCATGGGCCTCAGCACCTTTGGGACCCTCCCTGCTCTGGTATAGAGAACATCCTTTCAGTGGGTCTGTCCTGGGCAATGTCTCCTGATGCATCTCCTCTGTTGCTTCTCTTTTGTCTCTTCTATGTCTTCCCTGACAAGTTAGAGCAGAAGCACCATGTGCCCTTCTGGTGGCAATCTGGGGGAGGAGTGAGTTATTTCCATGGATTTGAGAGCTATCTGCGACTGGCTGTGGCTGTCTCAGAGCAATTGATTGTCTCTTCTCACACTGGTCACCCCTGCAGCTCTCCGACATCAAAGCCCGGCAGCGTATGCTCAGCACGCTTCCAAGTGTGCTTTAGCAACTCATTTGGTTTTCAGTCAACAGCTATGGTTGTTTTCCCAGAATATTAAAATTTTGGGTTGTTGACATAATCTATACTTTTTAGGCTTTTGGTGTAATTTTTCTCTTCTCTATGCACGTAACAGTTCATCTTTGTACTATTTTAACTCTTGCATTTGCATGTAGTGATAATATGTAACCAACAGTTTAAGGGCTTCCTTGCCTTTTCACATGTCTGCCTTTTCTAGCTTGTGGATTTATTTGAAGTTTGTATCTGTTTTTTCCCCTGCATCTCTTCTTTTGTATACAAAAAGATAAAAGCTTTCACTTAGTTGTTTGAACACATTAACTTCCAAACATGCTTTCACTGTGAATGTGCAGAGGCATTTCTGAGCATAGTGATTGTACTCTTGAAGATTTTGGTGACAGCGAAAGCTTCATCATGGTTGTGTGTCTGGATTATCATAGAAGAACTCACAGATTTATCATATGAATGTGTTTCTGGGTTGTCTCATGAATGTTATCAAATTGAGTTGTGTACATCTTCAGTACTTTCTTGGAAAAGGGCACCATGCTGGGCTGAAAAAGACATGGCAGTGAAACCTGAACTTCTTACTTCAACAGAAGATACCATGTTATCTCTTACATGCACAAATCTTACTGAGAAATTAAACATTTGACCAAACACTGTCTGTTAGAACTGAATGAAAATTGCCAATTGTACAAGTAAATTGCCCAGTAGGTTCACTTGAATTCAGGAATCACCAGCAGCTTCTCGTTCTGGAAATCAGGTCCACATACTGGCACGGCAGTGCAGCTGCTTCACTGCTACCTGGCATAGTGGGAAGAGACAGGGACTAGGATAAGCAAGAATGTAGGAGAGAGGGAGGGAGGGAGTAAAGCAAGTAAGTCTGATATAAAAGTGAAGCATTCAAACTGAGTAATCCCCAAAGTTTACAAAGGATATGGCCTGACAAACTGTGGCATGGACAAGAAAAACAGTAATCTGCAGTCCAGACTGCCAAACTTGGTGTGTGTACCTGCCTACCTAGTAGTTTGTGAAGTGGAAAGGACCTGCTGCCAGTGGACGCTGAAATGCTGGGTTCACCCAGGAAATTAAAGCATAGCCTGCCAGGCTGTTTGGGTTGGTTTAACTGAGGCTCTCCCGTGGAATGGGGGGAGGACCAGAAGGATGAGGCTGCCCCTGCTTCCATAGCAGGCTGCTGCCTTGTACCTGCACTAGCTGATCCTAACTTCTTGCTGCCTTAAAGTAAATACTGCACTCTTCATAAGGGTGTGAGAGCAGAATAGCCTTTGGGAGAGTGAGAAAACAAGGAAGCTGTAGTTATAGCTGGAGGGAAAGATGCTTGTCTGTGCTTTCAAATGTAAAACTCAGCAGTTACTCTGTATTAACCACTGACCTCAAATGGCACTGTAGAAGGTTAGCTTTCTAAAATCCATATATTTTAATGCTTAGTTTTCTTGCTCTGAGCAGTTTTATAGTTTTTCCTGTACAGATTTGCTGTGTGGAAATTTGTGTAATGTGAGAGGTAAAATTGAAGTGATCTGAATTCAGAGGAGTTAAAAAATATTACTCCAGGTTCTTAAGTCTGAATATCAGTCTCTGTCATCTGCATTAGTTTCACTTGCACCAAGTACTGTGAGAAGTTCAACATTTTTTTCTAATTTTGCTGATGGATAATAACTGTAACTTTAATGTGGTCACAGGGAGAAAGTAACTGAAATATGGAAAGTAGGCTCTTAATGAAACCATAAGTAGGGTTTAAAAATATTTTCATGAGTCTGAGTAATAGGGATGGAAAGAGAGATGTGGGAAATGATGAGGGCAAGCTGCTGCAGAGAATGCTGGAGCTTCCTTCAGGGCAGAATCTGGCTGGAAGTGCATAAAGTACTTGTCTGAATTGTCACTGCAAGACTGACTGGGTTGATGGAGTTTGATGAGACCAGGGTTGATTTTACTTGAGTTTCAAACACTGGAAAGGCAGGAGAAGGTACAGATATTTATTTTATTATTTTGGGAGAGATTAGTGTTGATCATCAGGGTGTAAAAATGAAAGTAAAAGCAGAACATTTAAATGCATGTAGAAAGCAGGATAAAAAGTCTAAATCTACAGTAAACACATTCAGAAGAAGGCATCAAAGTGGCAAAGATTGTTTAGGTTCAGAAAAATAAACTTCAGTGTTTTAACAGTAAAGAATTTTTTCTGAAAGAAATTTATTTTTTTTAGATGTATGATATAATTGAAGAACAAAGACTTTAATATCCAATGTTAAGAAATATTAGGTTGGTTTGGTGTCTCAGGAGTGCAGTCAAATATGGGACACCCTCTAGATCAAAACTATTGTTGTAATTTCACAGTCTTGTTCCTCTGCCCTCAAGTGGGTTATCTATAAGACAGTTCTTCCTCCTTAAAATTCTTGTTGCTCACTAGAGCATATTTTTATTTTATGCAGTTAAAAGAGCATACCCTAGTATGAACAGGTTTGGTTAAATTGAGAAAACAAACGATCCTAAATTCCACTGTGTTCTAAGAGATTATGTGATTACTCATCAGTAGCTTGTGACAAAGTAAATGGACTTTGCCTTTTTTTGTTTTAATGTATCTGAATAGTTTTTGGACTACTTAGTTATCATAACCAAATAACCTTCAATTTTTGTAGGCATTTGGCATACCTTCTGATGAAACCTTTGTTGTCACCACAACAAATAGGAAGGAAATCACAGAAGATAACTTCAGTAAGTATCTTAGATGACAAAATAATTACAGTTATTTCTTATATTGATCATAAAGGTCACATGATAAGTGTTTGTGCTCTATGATGTACAGTAATTAACTGAAAGTACAAATCCTGTAATAGTTTGCCAAGAATTGCTTCAAATTCAGTTTCACAAACATGTTTTTGATGAGTTTAGATGATAACAGTTATACTAAGTATCTTCTGTCACAAAGTCTGTAAATGATAGGAAAAAATTATATATATATATATATATATAATATTAATTAATTATTATTAATTAATTTAAATGTTGTTGTTAAATGCTGAACAGGCAACGCTTAGGACAATACACAGATTACCTGGGGCTAACCCCGTACTTGTTTTGAGAGCAGAAGTTGCCTGATGCAGTGCTCTTCAATGTACTTTGCATTTCATCTTCCCTGCAGGTGGGCTTGTTCACGATGGAGTTACTTTATATCTGCTGCATTCAGTTGATCAAATGTTGCTTTTGGCAACCAAGGAGCGAATTGACTTTCTGCCCCACTACGACACGCTTGTCAAAAGTGGCATGTACGAGTACTATGCCAGCGAGGGCCAAAATCCTTTGCGTAAGTATCTGCAAAAGTAATCTCATGTAAATGATATTTTTACGAATATAATGTGGTTATGAGCAATTCAACTTAAAATTATAGCTGCTAAAAAATAGTCTTAACTGTAAAAGAAAAGTTTACTGTGTTCTTCCTAAAAAATTTTCTTTTTAAAATTACTAAAAGTAGCTACCTAAGAATCCAGATTTATAGAGATACCTTCTCAAATACATGTTCAAGAAGTTTGAGTATCTTAGAAGTAAAATAACTTTAGCCTGAATAATCTTGTGCATGTCATTCAGACAGGTCAGCATTTGTGTTATCAAGTTTTTGTCTCCTGTACTAAACTGTAGACTTTGTGTTTGAATTTAATGAACAGTTTTTGTGTGAGCTACTATAGAATGTTTTGTGCCCTCCCATCTGGGGTGCTACAGGGCTTAATTTACCAAAAAGAGCAAGTATTTCTTTAAAAAGATGCTGCTTTAATCAGTTTTTTTCTAAGTGGTGCATGAAATATGTAATCGCCATTTTGTATTGTTTTATTGAATAAATTACTTTCTGTTCATGGCTTCTTTGAAAATTCTGTCTGTGGCTGTGATTACCTTCTAAGTACTATGTAGTTCACAGGTACAGCAGGTTCAAAATTTCACAGAAAAAAATTCAAAAAATATCAAGAATCAAGCATGATACCATTCCTGTTGTTTTAAAACAATATAAAAATGTTTATAAATAGCAGCTGTTATTTTTAAGGACCAGTCTTTCACCTTTCCTCTCTGTGCACATCATTTGTTCCATGCCCCAGCAAAGGCACTATTTTGGTTCGGGTTTGGTGGTACTGTTGAGTCAATGGTGCATCCATCCCTGTGCACAGGAATTGCTGTGTAAGCCCACTGAGAGCAAACATTCTGTGGAGATCTGTGATGTGCACTTTATTCCTGCCAGCAGCCAGTAGTGGACCTGTGGCTTTCCAATACAGAGAAACTGGAAAGGCCAAGCTGGGCCTCATCTGTAGCAACCACACCCTGGTGGAATTTGATTAAATAGGAAAGTGTAAAGTATTGTAAGGACTCTAAACCTTAAGAAACGACCTTTCAGTTGTTAAAGGATGTTAAAGGGTGTAGTTCATGGGACACCGGGGAGCACCCTTGGTGATAAAGAAGAGTGCTTGCAGTTGCTTAAATGACTTTTCAGAGCACAAGAACTATTGATTCCTATGTGGAAGAAATCGGGTGTAGAAGGCAGGAGAATAGCATGGCAGAGTAAATACCTCCTGGTCAAACTGAAACACAAGAGAGAATTGCACAGCTGGTGGAAGCAAGCGATAGAATAATAGCAAGCTAGACAATAATGTAGCACTAATAGTCAGCAAGCAAGCTAGAGGATAATACAGGGCTGTTGCCTGGGAATATACAGATGAGATCAGGAACCCTAAGGCACAGCTGGAGCACATTTGGCAAGGGATGGGAGGAGGGATGATATGGGTTTTACAGATACATTAGAAAAGGATGACAAAAAAAAGTTGCACCCTAAATAAATGAAATGTGAGGTGAGGAGGTCTAGGGGCAGCTGACATGGGGAAGACTGAAGTACTAAACCAATACCTAACCAATTCTGAATGTTGATGAAGGACCATTGTTCTTTGGTATGGAATAGTAAATATGGATCACATAACAGATGCTCAACTACTCTGCAATGAAGAAAGTTGCAAAAAAGTGCAGAACGGTTTTTGTATTTCGATAACCCCTTGAGGGAAAATGCCACGTGCTTCAGTGTTGCTGTGTTGCACTGATACTCAAGGGTTTTCTTTTACATGTCTGAAGTGTGGGGCCTGTGTAAATTGCACTGTAGCATTCTGAAGAACTCTGCAAATTGTAGGAAATAAGGTTTCCTTTTTAAAGAGACTGACTGGAAATGTCTGTTCACTAAAGCTGGTCAGTCAGATTGAGTTAATCTGAATTTGATGTATTTTTTTCAGATTAAATGCAATTTTCCAGTAGACATAGGTAGTTTTAGTTTAATTAGGTAAGTGCTCCAAACATTAATGGTTAGAAACAACAAATCTGTGCAAACAGTTTGCCTGATTATTTCTGCAGTGTATTGCAATATGGATCTGACAGAAATTTGGTTGTATTTACCATTCACTGAAATCCTTCAACCATTTCTACAATTTTCTTTGTTTTCTATAAAAAATTAACACTGTAGTTTTAAATGTTTCACAAAATTTCAATTCAGTTTTCTTCAGTTCATTCATTCTTCCTTCAATATTTTAACAAGTCAGAGTCTATTTTTATGTACTTTTGACTCACATATGCATCATAAAAATTAATTTCTAATCATGAAAGGGACAAATCTGTCTTTTGTTAAGGAGACGGTTAGTTTATCATTGTTCTTTCTAATAATTGTGATATTGCCATTAAGAGATATGAGAGACTTAGTGATAAAACAAATAATAAAGTACATGTAGAAAAGCTGTTTAATTTTTTTAAACAAGATGTTATGTGATTTTAATTGTTCTGACTGGGCTTAGGTCTTGTCTGTGTTTAGGCAATGTGTTTTCCTAATTGTTGAACGAAACTACTATAAGTGGGTGTCTGTTTCCTAAGCACTAATAGGGTTTTTTTGTCAATTTTTTTAGCATTTGCCCTTGCTGAATTGATTGACAATTCTCTATCAGCTACCTGTCAAAATACTGGCATTTGGAGTATACAGATAAAATTGGTAAGATAAAAATACTTCAGTGTTTTCAGACACAGTTTGCATTATCCTTTCTTTTCCCTGTTGCTCCTTGTTGATTTGTGCTGTGTGTTTTTCTCCCAACAGCTGTTTGATGATTCCCAAGGAAAACCAGCTGTTGCTGTGATTGATAATGGAAGTGGAATGACTTCTGAACAGCTTAACAACTGGGCTGTATATAGATTGTCAAAGTTTACAAGACAAGGTGACTCTGAAAGGTTAGCAAGTTCTATATATTTCTACAACAATTAGCAAGCTCTGCAAAGGTCCATAAAATATGTTCTTAAGGCAGAGCTGTATACCAACACTCAGCTAAACCCTGTCATTTTAGGATTACCTAAATAGACCCATACTTTTTTTAAGTAGGCAATAGAGAAGTGTTATGACACAAAACTGGTCTTCTATTCTTGTGACACACTGAATGCTTTTTTGGTTTTGGGACCTTTTCTAAACTGTCTTTTGCTTGCCTGCATACAGTTTGGGACGTGCTATGTCCTGCAAGGGGTTTTTGTACCATGTTCATCTCTTACCTGAAAACCTTTCAGTGGTGCATTAAATGATACATTCAATATTTAAGCTACTGCAAAACAGGTGGTTTTAGTTCAAATTTTCTTTTTTTAGTTTAAATTTTAATTCTGCATTATGTATTATAAATTATACCTGGAGATGTCTATTTTTTGATGCAGGCTACACAAAATTCATGTTTTGCATTTAAAGAAGAAAGTGGAGGTTGTGTGGTGGGTTTTGCTATTTATATGAATTAACTTGAAAGTTTTGAGTCTGTTCTTAAGAGATCTTCTACCTGCACAGCCAGGCTTAATCCTAGTGTATAAAATTCCACAAAATCAGTTATGTACAGTTTTTGAGCTTTGGTCACATTTTAATACCTTAAGCCTAGGATTGTAAATGTGAAGATGATAATTACAGTCTCAGTCATAACTAATTTGTCATATGAGCAGATAGTGTAAAAAGTAATACAGCTGTGGGAAGTGATAATATAGCTGGGGGAATTGAAAACATCTCCAAATAGAAAGTGAATGTCTTTTAAGCATCTGGAGATAAGTGCATAAAAAGTGATTCTGGGTCACTTGTAAAGAAATTCAATGTTTTTGAAATTGCTGTAGGCAACTTCAGTAAATTTAGTATTCCTAAAATGCAGATTTAAGCTGTAGATTACTACCACTTAATTGAAACAGAGGTCTAAATTATCTACACCTTATTTTCATTTGGGACTGCTGTGATTTAAAAATAAACATTTTCCTAAACTAGATAAGGCTGTTCAAGGTGACTTAGAAGACATGGAATTTCACTACTGATAGCATATGTTATCTCTCCAAGTCTCCATTTAACAGTTGGTTGGCATTATTTTCCACTTTGACTTAAAAGTATTTTTATGAAAGCATGCTGTCAGAAAAATCAGGCTAGCTTTTTCAGCCATTTTTATTTAGTAAGATTTGGTTTGTGAGAAGGGGGCAGAAATGTTTTATAAGATGACTTGGGAAAATACTTACTCTGTCATTATCCTTTTAAAAAGAGTACATCAAGAATTTCAGGCACATATGTTTTAAGCTTGCAGTTTTAAAATGTATAAAGTGAAGAATTTTTTACCAAAATGCCAGGAGGAAGAATTTAGTAGAAGCTTTAGATCAAAAGTATCTTTGGGTTTTTTTAATTACTTTTGTCTTGAAAAAATTTATTAAAGACACTCTTATTCTCAGTGATCACTCAGGATATGTACGCCCTCTGCAAGTGCCTCGTAGTTTAAATAGTGATATCTCGTATTTTGGAGTTGGAGGCAAGCAAGCAGTGTTCTTCGTGGGACAGTCTGCCAGAGTAAGTCAATGTCTGACTTTAATTTTATTTTAGAATGTTGGCACACAATCAGATTGTTACTTCCTAATTTTTAATCACAGCATTAAAGTATTTTATTATGTTAATTTTAAGTCTTATTTTGATTTTAAATGCTGTTTCTTTAATAAAATCAGATGATAAGCAAACCTGCAGCATCTCAGGATGTTCATGAACTTGTCCTTTCTAAAGAGGATTTTGAAAAGAAGGAGAAAAACAAAGAAGCAATATATACTGGATTCATTCGAAACAGAAAGGTAAATAGCCTTAAGATTCTCACATTTATAATTGAAAGCCTTTCCCAGGTTAATGTGATTTAACTGTGTAATATTCCTGTAATACTTATCTGGAGATATCTTCACCTTAGTGAATCATTTGCACCCTGTAGTGTTGTAAAAGGAAAGACATTTTATGCCTTATTTTTTATGTGATGCTTTTTCCTCTTTTCAGTTAAGGTTAAATGACAGAAATGCTTTACAGTTTTGCATGTCAGGTTAAGAAAAATACTTTAAAATACTTTTCTAAGCACAGCAATTTTTTTTGTTGTGTATGAAACAAAAATGAATTTTCTCTGAAGCAGTAAGGAATGAATTAGGGAACCAAATTGTACTTGTTTAGAAATATGTATGACTGACCTGTATACGGGAAAGAAGTCCAGCCAGACCAACAAAACCGATTGATTTTATAAGTATTCATACATGTTGTAAAATAAATGAACTGTTTAGCTGAAAGCTAAACTCAACAGTCCTGATGCTTTTCATGAAGAAAAAGAGCGTAAGTAAAAAAGCTGTAAGATAAGGAGGAAGATTGAAAAGAACTGGGTTTTGGACATTTTTGGGCAAGGAGGGAGAGGCCAAGATGTAGCTAAGGGTGCAGATGGGAGGAAAAATGGTGGTGCGTATGACAAGGTAGTCAGACCTTGAGCCCATATCTTGAGGGTTATATCAGTCTTCTTGGTGTTTCATATGGATGAGAAAGGAACAGTAGGTAAATAAGGTTTTTATCGTGCCAGTTCTGGGTCAGTGAGTTGCAAAAAAAAATGAATTGCCAGTTTTGGTTTTATTCTCTCTACAATATCAGACTCAAAAAATAGAAACTGAAAATAAAAGCTTACAAAATCTGCTTTATTGTAAAGGGTAAAAATGCTTTCCCTCCCTGCTTGATACTAAAGAGCAAGGTTGGATGATACAAAGTAGAAGACAAACTAAGGCACGCCTAAGTTGGAAGAAAGTAGCTGAATGAGATGCATAGGTACTGCTAAAGAGTTCAAGAAGCTGGTGCAATCAACTGTTTGAAATGTTGTGGTAATAATATAAAATCATATTTTATATTAAATTAACAGTTAAATTGACAGTGTTAAAATGCAAGTAAAATTCTATTTAGAGTTAAAAAGATAACTTGTAACTATCCAAGACGGAGGAGATGATGTGAAAAGTAATAGAAGTGAGGTATGAAGATAATAGAGGTTTCCCTAAAAGATTCCTAAAACCCAGGTTTAGGAATTTTTTTTGCAAATCATTGAAATACCTAGGCCAGTTCATTATATTGGTGTGAAATAAAATGTGTGAATGCATCTCGCTAAAGACTTGAAAAATGATCTGCACTGCACATACATCAGCAAGAGAATACTATGGCAGAAGTAGAAATTGTAAATGGATTACTAGTGTGAGAAGAATAATTGAGCCTTTGAGCCATTCAGTTGGTGAAGGAAGTTATTTTTGCAAAGAAATTAAGGTGTAATTAATGTGAAACAAAAAGAACTTTAGAACAAGGCCATAACACTGAAGAGAAGTGATATTAATGGTATCCCTGCTGGTCGTCTTTCCTTGATGGGTAATAGTCACCTCTCTTCACTGCAGTCATTTCTCTGGACCATTGAATATTGCAAATAAGTAAATAGTTATTTTCTAGTTGAGATAGATGCTAGGAATGTAGGGGAAGGTGCCATGGTAGTTTGTAATCTGTAGTGGGAAGGCAGCCAGATAATTTGGCAGTGATATTTTGGAGGCTCTTTTGGTCTCTAAATTTCTTCCATGATGTACAAAGTGGCACTTGTTCAGCATAAGTGTGCAGCTTCTAGGTTTGTCAGATCACATGGGGATGAGGACCAAGCAGCTCTGGCTTTTCTTTATTATTGCCAATCCCATCACTAGCATAGAATAGTCCAGGCTATGCTGTGGGCAGGAAAAAGAGATGTAGTCTTCTTTGACAAAAAGTCTCAAAAATTGTTTAATTATCCTTTTAGCTAAGGAGAGCTCTTTGATTCCCTGGGGAAAGTAAGTCTTGATAGAACACCCTTAACTATTTCACCTAACTGATTGGGTAGGACATGTCTCCTTTCATGCCTTAGTGATGTGGGGTTTGTCTGCTTTCCTGCAAAATAAGGCATGTAGGTGCATTTACTACAACATATCTTCTCAGTTGTAGCAATTGTTTGCATTCACTAGAAAGATCTTAATCTTTGTTTTAAAAATAGGGTTTTTTTTCTGGATGTACCAAATGTAAGGCATTACTCACTGGTCCAGTGTGAAGCATGACATCAACCACTGTGTCTTCCTGCACTTTAGAAAACTGTCAAAAGAGCAAAGTGCATCCATTCAGGAAAAGACAGTCAGTAGTTTCTGGAATGGGGAATCTCTCTTTCTGTTAGGCTACTTGACATTTCATCTGGAATTGAGGATTCACCTTTTTTTCTTTTACAACAAAACTGTTTCTTCTTCTGGAGTTTCTGCTATAGAAAGTAGCCTATCCCTTTAAAAGCCAATAACTTTTTTTGGCTTTGTTTTCTTAAAGAGGCCTTAATGTCTTGCCCACTTAATGCTTCCACTTGATGGATGAGAACATGAATATTACACAGTGCTACATTCAGTGTGATTAAATGCATTTTTAGACGGCACACTTTAGGTGCTGTGATGAAAGTGAGTTGAAAATGAACTGGATTAGTGATGTCACATTCTCAGCTTGTTGACTTTAATTTGGAAACCTTTATTTTAAGCTTTAATCCTTTGTGATACATAGCATCATGTGTTCTGTATTACTTTTCTCTTATGTTTTTTAATCCCTTTCAAGTTGATGGGAGTTTGGAAATTCAGTTTACATCCCTGCTCTTATTATTTTACTTTTTTTGTAGCCATCTGATTCTACTCACATCACAAGTGATGATGAAAGATTTCTTCATAATCTAATATTAGAAGAAAGGGATAAAGAGAGTTTCACAGCAGTTGTCATTACAGGTGTACAACCAGATCACATGCAGTACTTGAAAAACTACTTTCATCTTTGGACAAGGCAGCTGGCGTAAGTTGGTGATTTAAAAGATTTCATTTAAAAGTGGGCTACTAACAAAGTCAAGTAATTATGAACTGCTTCTTTTTTGTGCTTTGACATTGGCCTTATTCTTTTTAAGGCCGTTGATACTTCAATTAGCCTCCCTATCTAACCAATTTTACAGTAATGAACACAACTGAATGGGGCACCCCCAACCAAAGATGTGACTTGATGATTAATACATAATCCACTGTAATTTTTGCATACATATCCACTGTAATTTTTAGTAGCCGATTAATTTAATGGTGTATTACTAATGTAAAAAATTGTTTATCTAATTACTAAGAACTTCATCAGTTACTTTGCTCACAGCCATGCTCCTAACCTTGCTCATAGACTTGCTCCTAATTTACACTTTTAGGGGATCTTTTGGTTGGTTGACTTGTTAAACAACAACAAAAGAAGGTACTGCTCTTCATCCCAGTTTAAGAGGGAGAAGGATATATGACACTATCTGCTCTGTACTGTAATAATGTCATCAGTGGGCCTGCAGAACCTGGAGATACCAGAGAATAGTTTGGGCTTACCTGTTATGATGATCCATCTGTGAATGTAAACTGAAATACAAAGGCCTAGACCAATTTTGAAATCTGGCAAACTACACAACTTTGTTTTCAAACTATGATTTCATTTTTGTGATACCTATAATCTGATAATAATAGATGTACTTAAAAAGAGGATTAATATAAGAATTAGGTAATATCTTACTATGTGAAATATCATTCAGTGTTGCACATAAAAACTTGTTACTGAAGCCATTTTTAACCTCATGAAAATATAGGGTACATGACTTGCAGAGGATAATTTACATCCCTCATTAGCTTCCAGGTGCTCATCCAGTGAACACTCACACTTTACTGTGTGTTAGTTCTTTCCAACCATCTCTTGAAGTGAAAGAGCTGCCTCTGTTTGAGATGGAACCCAGGTGCAATTATTCAGATATATGCCCTGTAGCTGTTACAGTAAAACCACTCATTTAGCCTTCCAGTGCTACACAGTCCTGTGTCACTGTTTCAGCTGTAATGGCCCTTTCCCCCCGAACACTTCCCCATTTCCTTCTGCCATGCCTTTTGCCACACATGCAGGTTACCAGTTTGGTTCCGCTTTCATGCGCTGCAGCACAAGCCCTCATTATTTTGGATGCTTTGAAGTGGAGATGAACCCCTAAAATAACAATGTCTTAAGGCCAGGAGACTGCCTTTTGAAGTCTGGAAGAAATGCACACAAAATACTAAGCAATTTGGACATACTATAAAATCCTGAGCAATGAGACCAGGAAGAGCCTTTTTCTGGGAACCAGGATTTCTCTTTGGGGAACATCTAGTGCAGTGGAGGTCAAAGGCAAGCAGCTAAAAACTTGCAGGTGCATTTGACTTAAGTCATGCATTCAGTCCCCTTGACTAGTACAATCTCATTTTTCTCCAGACCATCCCCCAGAGCTTTAAGGATTCAGTCTTTGAAGTTGAAAGAATTAGCTAGCTGAAAAGTTGAAGTAAATGGAGTTGAGTTCCTCAGTTTTCTCAAATTGCATTTCTTTATGAAATTATTTAATCTATTTGACCACATATATATTTTGAAATTTGTTAAATGAGGAAAAATGCCAATTAGAAAGCAATGTTTACAACTGAAAAACTATTTCTATTATGCAGATCACATCCATGACTCCTACCTATATTCAAATTTATGTAAATAATGTAAAGATAGTGATTGTTTTTTGCATATTTCTGTTACTATTAGATGATAGATATAAAACTGATAGCAGATACAAAGCGTGGAAAGATTTGTGACTCTAATTCTGATTTCCAGACTGCAGAACAATTTACAGTAGTTTTTTTTTAGTTAACCCTTTGATGTAAAGGATCTGTAGCCATGTAACAATTGTATTTTTTTTCACTTATTCATTTTTTTTTCAAATTTGTTTCCAATTATTTTACCCAAAAATTGATCCTAGTGTGATTGTGCATGACAGAGATGAGAAGAATGAAAAGGAGTCACTCCCTTTAGTAAACCTTTTGTACCAGATATATGTTGTCAAGGAGTTGATTTATAACAGTGCAACAAACCGAATATATTTTAATAAAAATAAAAGCTTATTTAGATTTTTTAAATTATAATGTGCAATTTTTAAATTTCACTTGCTGTTTTGGTTTTTTTTCTGAAATGTATTTCAGGCATATCTATCACTATTATATCCATGGACCAAAAGGAAATGAAGCTAATGCTGTAACAAAAGAAACAAGCCCTTTCAACAACATCGATATTCAGGTAAGAGATTTTATACATGTTAGTCAAAAGTCCTCTTTGATGCCAACTTATATTGTGCCTGTTTCTCTGTAATCATGCATTTTAAAATATGGCATTCAAGATGTGTATGTAGTTTAATTTTTTGAGGTAATTCTGTTTAGCATTGCAGTGTAGGAACTAACTCCTTTGCTAACAGTCAGTTGTCAAAGTGCTTATTACTGTAAGTCTTTTCCTCTAAGGAAAATCAACTTATTTTCCTTTTTTCCAGATTTCAATGTTTGAAAAGGGAAAAGTACCAAAGATTGTCAATCTGAGGGAGATCAAAGATGACATGCAGACATTGTATATAAACACTGCAGCAGATAGTTTTGCGTTCAAGGCACATGTTGAAGAAGAAGGTATAGTTGAAGGCATCATCCGATACCATCCCTTCCTTTATGATAAAGAAACATACCCTGATGATCCGTGTTTTCCATCAAGTAAGTGAAATGTTTTGCTGCTTGTCAGTCCTATCATAGACAGTCCTACTACTCTAAATATTTTAATGAAATAAAAACCAGAACAACTTTAGGTTGAAGTGTAAATATTACCATATTACCTGATTTAGGTTGTGACAGAACAGAAAAGTTCACATTCTTTTGAATGAACAGATGTGAATTTTCCGTTGTGGTAACTCATTCCTGTAAACTTGATCTTTGGCATACCACCATCTGATTCCAAATTATAAACTCTTATGGAATGTACTCCAGTTGAAACTTTGCACTTTCTTGATTGCATCTTTGCTCCAACAAAGTAATAAAATATGAGCAGTTGATTCAAGAGATTTCAAGAGATACAGATTCAAGAGATTATAGTATCGAAATACTGCAAAGGACAACATATAGTCTGAAGTCTTTAGTTTAAAATTTGTTTTACTCAGTTGTGAGTTTTTAAATGCTAGGGGTTTTAAAATTCCTTGTGCCTTTTTTTTTTTGACAAAACAAATCTTGAGTTAATTGGGACAAGATTTCATGATACTAGAAGAACATCAGTTGAAACAAAGGAAAAAGTAACACTCAAAATTTTAAAATTTTGAATTTGGTAATATTTAACTTCCATTTAGAATTTTTCTTTACCTTCCTTATTTTTTCTGCTTGCTATTTCTAAAACGCGAAAAAAAATGTAATATTGTATGTAATGAGGTTGATATAATGTGCATTGCTACTGTGCTGAATATAATAACAATAGTACTTCATTAAGATTGCTATGGGCTTTGATATTACACTAATTTTTTAAGGAAATATATTCAGGAGACTATCTTTCTTTTTTTTTTTTTTTAAACAAGGATTAAATGATGATGATGAAGATGACTGTTTTTTAGTAGAAAAAGGTGCCAGTATTTTAATAGTAATTTAAAAAAAAGTAAATTAAAATAAAAGAATAACCTATTGCATATTCATACACGTCATCCATGATGCACAAATTCCATTCAAACACAGGATTCTGTCTGGTCATCCTCAGCTTCTTCCTCTGAATCTTAACAGAGGTGGGAAGAAGTTCATTTCTTCTGATAAATTAATCAGAATAAATTCATTTTGCTCTGAAAGATTCAGATGTCCTGGGGCTGCTATCTCAGAGTCCTTTCTTTAAAAAAAAAAATTCCTATATAGTATAGTTTCTATTTTAACATTTTTTATAACCTCAAACTCTATTTACCACCCTACTTAAGAGAATGAATCCAGCATCACTTTCTAACACAACACATCTAATATTAACACACATAAAATTAATTTGAATTAACACAACACACATAACATTAACACACATAATATTAATTTGAATGATTTGAATTAACACAACACACAATATTAACCACACTCTATTTACCACACTACTTAAGAGAATGAATCCAGCATCACTTTCTAACACAACACATCTAATATTCATTTGAATATTTGCGAAAAGCCAATCATAAAATACACTCATTTTTCACAGGGTGCTGTGCGTGAAGAACATTTCGGGGTTAATTCCCTCATTATTTGCTCCATCGTGGGGTTAATCCCCTCCTCATTTCACCACCCCGCAGCTCGTGTTGAATTCTGATTTTCTGTGTTGTGTTCTGATTTTCCGTGTTGTGTTCTGATTTTCCGTGTATTACTTTTCCTTCCATATTTTGCTAGATCATGTTTTTTGAAAGCATCAGTGTTTCGCTATGTATCTTAGCATTTTCTGTGCCTTAGATTGGCTTTACAATAAAAGTTTTTTGATGACAAAATTGGCATAAAGTTTTCATGTCTTACCCCTTATTTATCCTTCCCATGGTTTCACTGTAACACATCATTCTTTCAGTTGTACAGAAAGAAATTTTTGTACATCTGCATTATTTGGATCAGGCTCTTTCTGGACTTCTAAAAGGTACAGAACACAAGGTTCTTATTCTGGTTTTTATTCACTCTTGATTGAAATGCTGTGTTTTGTAACAGTCTTCATTACTGTTCTCTAAGTTTAGCATAATACTATTATATAAGTACAGTTAGTTAAGTATTATGCACTTTGAAGATTTTGAACAAAATTTTCTAAAAGTATGTATCACTTTAGTCAATTGCATTTTGAGAACATTTGATGTTAGGACTTCTTTAAACCTCACTCTGTGAATTTAAAATAGGACCTTAGTTAACAGGATTAAGTAGATCACAACAGTCAAGCATTTTCATCCTGAGTGCTTTTTACCTCACAGGATGGTATCTTGTTCTGCTTCAGGCAAAGAGTTGTCCTAAACTGTTGCCTCATTTACCAATTGAGTGAGAGATATGAATGCAAAATAAATTGGTTTTAATGTTTGGTTGCAAGACCTAAATGGAAAACGGAAATGTTGGTGCACTTCTAAGCATAGATTCACATGGTATTTGAAAAATAAGTTGAAGAGAAGAATTACATTATCGACATAACTTTTAATATAACGACCAAAATCTAGAGTTAGTAGTTGAGAAGAGACAGAAGTTTAGGCAAACGGATTCGATTCTGTAAAGCTCAGGATATCAATGTGCTATCTGGGAGAAAATGTTGTGATTTGCTCTGTTCTCTTCAGTGGAACTACATTGTGTCATGATAAAGATCCACTGTGCATTGGGAGAAATGCTGTCATGTTTCCTGACTTATAGAATCTATCAATTTTATCTGTCAGACGAGAACTGTGGCTTCTATTATAGACAATGTCTGGGACTGAGATAGGATTTTCCAAACTGCCGCATAAAAATAAAAGATATCAACTTAGATAATTCCTAGGTCTTTGAGAGGTAAGGAGTTACTCAAGAAAAAGATTTGAATGTTTTAAAATAATTATTTCTATTGCTTTATATGTAAACATCTAGCTAAATGGATAAGCAAAAAAGTGGCATGTATCTTAAGGAAAGTTTTTGCTCTTAATGGAAATTAACAAAAGAAACACTAAATTTACATCAGTTTACATGAATTACCAATAAAATTTGTCTGAAATTAAAAATATAGTGAATTAACATTGATGCCTTGTGAAGGCTGACCTAGAACACAGGCTAGACAGCATTAAAGTCTTCACTGAAGTCAATGAATTGGTATCTTATATTGTCTCATTGGTAACAAGCTTTAATAAACAGCACTATGGTGTTTTGAATATGCTTTCAAATTTCATAACTATCTCTTACTTTGGCTTTGAATGGTAGAAATAGAACAAACTCAGATACTGAGCTTTTAAATCAGATATTAAGCTGATATCATTGTAAAATTTTCTTTAATTAAGAAAGTTATTATGAACTTCAGAAAATACTTGTTTGGAAAAGCTATAGCAGTACGAAATAATGTATGTTTGAATGAAAAATACTTCATTATATACGTCAATTGAGCTATTATTTAAGCTGGAGAATTTCTTGGAAAAGTATATCCTAAATCAGAAGCAAAATCTTTAGTTCATACCATTAAAGTAGAAAACATCAAAACTACCAAGCAACAGAGTCAATTTATTGGGTTGGAGTTTTTTGCTGCTTAAGAGAATGTTGCAGTAGTTAAAGGACCAAAGAAAAATATGTACCGATGAGGGAGGAAAGTCCTCTCAAAATCCTTCAGGGAGCAGAAAGGTATCTTTAACTGAGAAGAAAACCAGTTGCGCACTTTGCAGTTATTGTGAAGATCCATGTCTTCACAATAACAGATCCAGCAGACTTCTAGGCCAAGAGGCAACAGCCTAGAATGTTTTCTAAAATGGAATACTTTGAATATTATGCGTCTTTCCTTCATTTGGGCTATGTAGCTGTAGTGTACCAAGATTCCTAAATGGTCTGCTTTAATCCTGTGTAAGGATACTTTCTTCAATTTATGTTAACCTCTAGATGCCACTGATATTTTCCCATGTATTGGAATATACTTTTTTCATATACTGCATTAATATTTCCTTCCTTTTATTCTTGTGGGAGAATGGATTGTAGTGATGGTAGTACACGTAAAATAATTACCAGATTTTAAGAATATAAACAGGTATTTGAAAGTGGTGTATCTTTGGGGCAGGGACTGCCTCTAATTGAATGTTTATAAAGTGCCTAATATAATCAAGCCAGGAGCTGGTTGGCTGCTATGTGGTGATGTGGTGGCTGAAGACCTTTTGGGCACAGTGTTCATGTAATGATAGACTTTTCAATTATCAGAGAAGTAAGGAGATAGGTCAGCAGACCTGCAGCCTTAGACTTACAGAGGGCAGACTTTGGCCTGTTCAGGAGTACATTTGACAGATCCATCTTTGGGATCTTTCTAAGCTGGGCTAATAAAGGCCCACTTACAATTCCCAACAGAGTATAGTTTAATTAAATTTGTCCATTAGAGGACTCCTCCCCCTCCCTTTACATTTTAGAAATTAATTCTGCTTTCTGCCTGTTGTTCTTTTTGCATCACAGATGCACTGAACCTTCGTAACCGACAGGTCCTCTGCACCACACTGAAAGTCATCCAGCACCTGGTTGGTGGTGTCAGCTGAAGTGGTGAGGGAGGCCTTGGTGCCCTATTATTGGCAAATTCTCCCAGTCCTAAACATCTTTAAGCGCATGAATGGTGAGTTATGCTAACAGACACTGTGTCTTTCAACTCCTAAGGCAAAAAGGGGCTTGAGGCAGGGTTAATTAACAATGTAGTTAAGATTTATTGCTGTATATAAACTCAAATCCATTTGGAGCTCTAAATAATGTAAACTCCCCCTCTTACTATTCCCTAAGAATGCACTGAAATTAACAATTTCATTTATTACTCCTTGCACATACAGTTTATTTAACACAGTACAGAAGCAGTGAAGCAGTTCTCTAATCTTCCAATAATTAAATTGCAAACTTTGTAACGGTCTTTTGAATACATTAATAAATTGCAAAGCTTTTTTCCTCCCTCCAACACGTTAGTTTAGTCCAGCTGTTTTAGTTCACCTGGCTGCAAATGGTGAGGGAGAATTCCTGGGAAAAATGGGAATTCTGAACTGGGATAAATGGGAATTGTTGTTGCCTTCTGGAGCAAGGCAGGCGACCTGGTTCAGAGGAACAGCACGGCGGCCCAAACTCTCCAGGGCCGCTCGGGCCAATGACACACGCAGGCATCAATATGATGGACAGTCAAAAGGCCTTTATTATCTCATCTCTTGGGTTTTTATAGTCTAAGGGGTCTCTACGTCAAAAGGGGGTTTGTCTTTCTTACCTATGGTTAGTAAGGAATGGAAAAGTACTGGGTAGGGGATGGAAAGTTACTGGCATTCGGTTAAAGGGGGGCTACATTCCTATGTTAATTTCTTATCTACGGGGAAAGGATGGTCTTATCTAAGGGGAACAGAGGGTCCTGCCTTTCCGTGACATCGCGAGATCTTCCGCAGCGCCTTTTCCCTATCTACCACATCTCCCCCCCCTTTTCCACAAATGAATGAGGTAGTCATATACGTAGGTACTGAAGTGAGGTATAAGGTTGTAGTTTGACAAGGGAAAGGGGTCTTGGGAAACCTGAGTAAGCTTTTGCCAGACAAGTTCGGAAAATCTTGTGACTGGCAGTGTTCCCTGGTTGAATTCACAGCAATTGTTGTCGGCCTAAGAACTGGATGTTGGTCCGTTCCAGGCGGCTCTGAACGAACGAGATCAGCTTGTTCAGCAGGCATGGTCCGAAGGTGACTGTCAGAAACCTGTCAATATTTCTCTTTTGTGGATCCGGCTGGGTCCCTCAAGAAGATGGTACATTTCTTCGTCTGAGTGGTACAGGACCCTAGGAACAATCAGAACTTGGACACAGAAGTCGTTAGAGTCATTGAATTTGGGAAGGAACACACAAGGACTCACTCCGGATCACTGGCAAACCCACCTCCCAGATGCGAATGGGACTGCCCATTTATTGTTTTTCCTGTTAGGCTTGACGATTTTGGTGCAGACGTTGCCTTTCCGCCTAGCTAGGGTTGCATTGCCAAAGCATCTGCCTCAGCCTGTGACTTGACTCAGGGTGATTCCTTTGTGAGGGGTATCCCATCTGCACTGGTGAGGGGCGTCGGCTGTGGAGTAACTGAAGGGAGTGTTTAAAGCGACTCCTTCGAAAAAGGGGGGTTTGACATTGTAACAAAGCCAGCAGGATTCGGTTAGGTTAGGGTTAGATTCGTTCAGGGATACAAAGGTAGCTTCTAACATACGAAGGATTGGGTCTGAGTCTGACTCGGTTAAGCGGCTCATCTGAAAGGTTTCCACTTGACTGGTCGGGACATTGCTGACCCCTGTGGGTAAGGTTTTGGGGTAGGTTATGTTTCTCCCTTTCGGCACGCTTTTAATCGCTTTGTTGGGTCCGACTGCTCGGGGTGCTGACGGTTGGAGCCTGATAATTTGCACGTTCGCCCTCTCTTTTGACCCTTGAAGGACCGCTGTCCACGTTTTGCCTGTGGCCCAGCTAGGGTGATCTGGCTGCAAGACCGTCATGTTGTAGTCAGTGCATGCCCGAAATCTAGGGATTTTATTTCGGTTTCGATGGAAGTTTCCGTGAGAGAAGGGTATTCTGCAGCCGATGGGTGCCCAGGTGAATTGTAAGAATTTGTCTGGCTCTTGTGGATCCCACCCAGGCCCCGATGGTCTGGCATCTGTAACTATGGTTTCTCAGCCCCAGTGCCCACAATATCCCCACCCTGGGTGATTGCAGTAGTTTTTCCCAGGGTTTGAAGCTGGGCACCAGTAGGATAGGTACGAGTGTGTGACGTGTGGGGAATAGGGGTGTACCTTTGGCTGTCCTGGAAACAGATCGGTGATGAGGAGCACGAAGGATGGGGTGTTCGGTGTGGTGATTTGTCTGAGTACTTTGCCACTACTAAGGTGTCGCATGACCCACCTGAAGGGCCGATGGGGGTAGTGGTCTGGGCTGGCTTGCCCTCTGACAACAAGCCCCAACAGCAAAATCCCACAGAAACACCCTTGGTGCTTGGGTCTCACCCGTGCGGGTCTCTCGGGTGCTGCCTGGCGGCTTGGTGGTCTGTCACTTTCGTCTGGAACCGGGAAGTGCGCGTCACGAGGACGTCTCACGAGCAGGTCCTGTAAACAAATACTCGCAATTCTCGTCAGTCTCATTCTGCTCGCTATGAAGGTCCGGTTTAATCGACTTAAGTGGACACCACCTGATTTTGCCGTCCTTTTTGACTGCTGCGTACCCTCGCCCCGTGAGCATCAGCCTCCAACCCCGTTCCCACTCGCCTAGCTCGTTTCTGATTACCACCTGTGGGCCCTCTTCTAGCATTCGAGTGGCCCAGTGTTTTTGGACGGGACTGTTTGTTTCATCCTCCCTAGGGAATTGATTCAGTGCCAGCAAAGCGGTTGCCAGCATACGCGCCTGATCTTCTGGGGGAATGGCATTGGCAAAGCCTTCTGCTTTTGCCAACACTTCTATCTTGGTTTTCAGGGTCTGGTTTGCTCTCTCAACTATGGCCTGTCCGGTACTGTTATATGGGATGCCTTGCACTAACGTGATGCCCCATTTCGAGGCGAATTCCTGTACTTGTTTGGAGGTGAAATTTGAGCCGTTGTCCATTTTGATCTGCTTGGGGATACCAAGCCAAGCCATGGCTGTCAGCCAGTGCTGAATTGTGGCTTTGGAGTTGGTTTTGGGGTGCTGTGTGGCTATGATCATTCCGCTATAAGTGTCCACTGTCACTGCTAGCCATGCTCGGGGCTTCGGCAGTTGACACAAGGTGAAGTCCGACTGCCAGATTTCTGAGGGCTTGAGACCTCTCGGGTTGACTCCGTAGGTCCAAAGGGGTGACTTCTGGCAATGAAGGCAGGTGGCTACCACATGTTTTGCGTCCGCTGTCGAGATTCCGCATCTCTTCACCAGTGCTTTGACTCCGATGTGGAGCGACTCGTGCAGTTGACGAGCTCTTTGCAAGGTCCAAACGCCTTTTGCTGCGGCGTCCGCTTTGTCATTGCCAATCTGGAAGTAACCTTTGACTGGGTCGTGGCTGTTGATGTGGATGACTGACACGGTGCCCTGTCGCGAGGAGAGTGCTTCTTCCAGCATTAAGGCTGCTGCAGATGTTGACACACCTGGTCCTGCCATGGCTAGGCAGAGCCTTGCCACAAATATAGAGTCCGTTACGATGTTGAGGTGTTCGTCTTGGAAGAGTCCGCACGCCAATACCACTGCTGCTGCCTCCAGTTGTTGCACTGACAGTGTGGGGTCATTCGCTTTGACGCAATGCCATTGCTCTCCTGCCTGCCACACTGCTGCTGCAGTTGAAGTCGTGGAGGAAGCGTCTGTGAACACCGTTGGTCCTGGCTGCGGTCTGTTCTTGACCTTCGGTGGCATGTCCATGTCGACTCTGGTCAGCAGCTGAGTCCAGGGTGGTCTGGAGGAGTAGGAGATTTCTCCTCCGAAGCCGGAGAGAGCAAGGGCCAGGTACTCTGATATTGCGGCTGGCTCCGTGGTCGGCTGCTTGCGAAACGGAAGGTGGATGCTTGTCGGCTCTGTCCCTAGGTGTTTCAAGGCGAGTCTCCTGCCTTTCATGATGAGGCTGGCGATGCACTCGATTCCTGGGGAAAATGCACGAGCGGGTCTTCCGAGGACCACCCATTGGATCGGTCGGGCCTTTTCTGCAAGTCCTTGGGCCAGTACTCCCACTCTCCCCTTCGGTGTAAAGTGGACGTACAGGTCCAGTGACATGGCTGGGTTCCACCTGGCAAGTGTGCCAGTGGACATCTGGTTTTCGATGAAGTTGAGGGAGCTCTTTGCTTGTGGTGTCGGCTCCTTGGGATCCCAGGGGTGCTTTCCTTTCAGGAGGTCGTACAGAGGGTCTATGACCTCGGGAGGAATCTGGACGATGTTGCGAAGCCACTGCAGCGATCCCACCAGGCGTTGCACGTCGTGGAGCGTCTCGATGTCTCGACGGACCTTCACCTCGGGGGGTGTCACGTAGGAGCTTGTGATGCCTACTCCCAGGAAGGTCACGCAGGGTCCTCTCTTGATCTTTGCGCTCGTGATCTCGAAGCCGTTGGCTTGAAGGGTTTCCGTGACTGTGGTCACCAGGTGATCTACTTGGCTTGTCGATGGTGCTGCGACCAGGATGTCGTCCTTGTACTGGATGATGGTTGCGGTGGGGTAGGAGTGTCGGACTGGCGTCAGTGCTTTGTCCACGGTGATTTGGCATATGGTCTGGCTGTCGACCAGGCCTTGTGGAAGCACTCTCCATTGGAAGCGAAGGTTGGGCCGCTCGCCGTTCCGAAATGCCACGGAAAAGGCGAATCGCTCTCTGTCCTCAGGGTGCAGGGGTATTGAAAAGAAGCAGTCCTTGATGTCCAGTACTGCACGTGGCTGCCCTGCGGGGATGGCTGAGTTCGTGGGTAGCAGTGTCTGGACTGGACCCATGGGTCTGATAATCTTGTTCACTTCTCTCAGGTCGTGGACGAGACAATAGCCTTCTCCGGACCTTTTGGGGACCACAAATACAGGGGTGTTCCATTGGCTGGTGGAGGGTTCTATGTGACCCTTTTG